CAGGAAGACTTGGCGCGATATGGTTCATGGGGTCACGAAGAGTCGGACATGACTTAACGACTGAACAACAACAAAATTGTCAAACCTTTGTTTGACAAGGCTGAATGTATCCCCCTCGCCATTGTACAAGGAAGATATGAGGGGGCTCTTCAATTCTTGGGGGCTTGTCCATGTAATGATCAGGAAGTCGGGTCTAAGCAGCATGTCCTCCTGTACTGTAATTTTTACACTGGAGCATGTCAGCAATTGACTATACCTATTACGGAGTGCAGAAGCAGCTGCAGAGTAGTCCAAAAAGTCCAGAAGACAGTCATGAGTGAGTGATCAAAACCCTGTCCCTTTTTTATTGTTAACACCACTTGATTTTTGACACTTCATCCCCCTTAGATGACCCAATTAGACTGTCCTGCCAGTTCTGTGTTCTATCTTAGCTGAAAGATAAAATTCCAAGGGTTAGTGTCAGTGGCTATTAGCAAGGATTGTCTCATAGGAGAGGGATTATCTGGGTCATTGCTGTACTGCATTTTTATAGTGTGTGTGTGTGTGTCTTTGTTGCATTTAATGTTTGTTTCTTATCTTGGCTCTTGCCATCAGCTATAATAAATTGTCAACTGAGGTAATTAGAAAGAAGAGAACTGCATTTGTAGAGCCACTTTTCCCACTTCAGTACCCACAAGATGTGATGGATAACAACACAATTAGAATGAGGGCAGTGGAGTGGAGAAGGCTGTTGCACAGCAGTGGTTGAATCATTTATAACACCAATGTACATCTAAGACACACTGAACAGGGGCCCAAAATACAATTTATACCATAAATTGTGATGATGATGATGATGATGATGATGATGATGATGATGATGACTTCTTGTTGTTGTCATCTATGGTAAGTGCCACACATTTATGTCCCTATGATTATCAACTTGTCAGTTGGTTGTCTCGGGTGATTTATGCCTGCATTCCTTGGCACAAGTGCCCCCTTCAGGGACTTCTCATTATCTCAGAGTCAGAGCCCTAAGAATATATGCTGTGCACTGTCTGGTCTACTTAGTCTGGTATTGCCAGCTTTGACCAGCAGCAGTTTTCCAGGGTCAGACTGATGCTCTGCCCCATCATTTGCAAACCAATTCTCTTTAACTGGAAATGAGGCAGATGGCACCCCAGCCTTTCTACAAGCAAATCAAGGCACTCTACTGTTCAGCCGTGGCCTTTCCCTTTTTTGCAGCCTTTTGAGGGCTTTTTGGTGGGGAAACTAAGCTACCCAACTTGACAGGATTAGGAAAAAGCAGAATATAATGTTAGGTCAAAATTAAATTTGATTTAAATAAATAACTTAATTAAAATTATTATTTCCCATGTAATATGTTCCAAATCTATATACAGGTAGTCCTTGACTTATGACCACAATTGGGACTGGAACTTCCGTCACTATACCATGTGGTCATTAAGTGAGTCATGCCCAATTTTACGACTTTTTGCCATGGTTAAGGAATCACTGCAGTCATTAAGTGAATCACATGGTTGTTAAGCAAATCTGGCTTCTGCTTGTCAGAAGCCCCCTGGGAAGGTTGCAAATGGCGATTATGCGACCCCGGGACATTGCAACCAGCATAAATACATGCTGGTTGTCAAGTGCCCTGAATTTTGATCACATGACCGCGGGGATGCTGCAACAGTCATAAGTGTGAGGACCAGCCTTAAGTCACTTTTTTCAGTGCCGTCATAACTTTGAACGGTCATTAAACAAATGATCATAAGTCAAGGACTACCTGTAATGTATATTTTTACAGCAAATTATTTGATTTTGAGAGTCTGCATACATGTCATGGCATCTCTTTTTAGTAAAGATACTCGAATACTTCGGACTTGAATAAAACACCTCAAACACCAGATTTTACATTAGAGAAACTTGGCATTTTGTTTCTTTCACTGTGGAAGTGTTATACACAATTTTGGCACTTATTAATAACAGTGTTATTGTGATATATCATACATACAAAGCAATCAGTTGAAAGGAGTCTGAAGAAACCTAGGATTTTCTGTAAGCAAAATCCATAGTTTCTTGAAAAAGTTTTTCTACTCAGGATGTTCATGGTAATTTTGTATTATGTTCCCCAAAGTGCTATTACCATGACAGGTGCATCTCCCCAATAACTTGAAGTGTATTTGAGTAAATTGGGGGACTTGACCTAAAATATTAAATGCCCAGTTTATGGCTTGGTGGTTGATCTCTGCCCCAAAAGTTCTCCATTAGGCACTGGCCCAGCCTAATGAAATTATATGCTTAAAAAGGCAAAATGTGCACATTTTTTTTAAAACTGGCTATGTCCTGAAAAATAGGCAAAGGAGAAGTTGATGTCAATTAAGTTTTATCTAATATGTTTAACCTTTTTATGTGTAACAATTGCTTTCTGTATACTGGTCATATTTTTAAATTTTTATACTATTACATTATAAGTATAAATATACTTAACAAATATTTAATACATTTAAAAATATTTATACTATTAAAAAACAGCTAAATCTGCATTGCCCTGCTTAAAGATCTCTTATTCATAGTCTGCTACAACTTCCAATATTACATCCACTTAACGGCATGAGCATCTCCTGTTTTAAGTTACTTGTTGGTGTCTCTTCAGTACTGCAGTTTGCACAGCTGTTTAGTTAGTTGATTCTCAGCTGAACTAGAGATATAGTACATTTTTGCAGGCCTATTTATTTCTTTATGACAATTTGGAACACTAGATATAGGAACTGGAATCAGGAGTGTGCTCATGTAAGTGCTAAATGGGGCAGGAATATTTTTACACGGGGCAGCAAAGTTTACAAAAAATTGTAACTATCACATTACATGTTTGGTGAGATGTCAATCTTCTTGTAATTTGTTCATTTACTGAATTTATATGGCTGCCTATCTCACACAGTGATCCCAGGTGGCTCACAACATGGCATCTCAAACTAGATTCTTCCATTTTCCCAAGTGGCTCATGGCCACAGTTGTTTCACAGCCGATGTGGTGTTTATTTGGGGCTTAGGTTTAGGGTCACCTTTACAAATGCTTTTTGGCACACAGTTGTAGAGAAAACACATGCCATTACATATGAAAACCTGGTCTATTTTGTCATGGTTGCACACCTCCTGACCACCTGTATTCAAAATAGCTTTCCTAATAAATTCCACACACACTGAAAAGTGTGTATTTGTGTGTGTTCTGTTCACACAGAACATGCTGTGCATGTTTCTCTGTCCCAGAGAATTCCAGAAGGCGGCAAAAAAGCAAGTATAAAGTGACCCTTGCACAGATCCTTGGAGAAAATGAGTATGTTCAGGGGAGCAAGAGGTTACAAAAGGGGATTTTGCACACTTTTAAACTGGTATGAAAAATTAATCTTCAAATATAGTTGGGAACCTCTTCTTCATAATTTTATGGAATACATTTCATTTTGAGGGCACATTTTTCTGTGACAAAATTAATAAGCAGATGGGCCTTCCAGGGGCTCTCATGCACATATTTCGGCAGCTAAGTGTACAGAAATTAAGAGGGAAAACATTACAAGAAAAAGCATATCACATTTACATGCAAAAAACCTACAAATCCGCTATTTATCGACCTTAAAAATGGGTATCTTCTAGTGAAATAGCCGGGGGGGGGGGGAGGGAACCAATTTAAAAGCAGGGGTATAAAACTCTATGAAAACTCTGATAATTATAGCTCTAATATATTGTTTTCCTCCCCCACCCACCAAAAGTAATAGATATGCAGTAAGCGTCCAGTTTCCCCTTGAAAGGAAGCCTCATACTGAAGGAAGAAAAAATGTGCAGGTAAACGGTTGTTCCCCACGTTTCCTGTTCAAGTTCCTTTCTCACATAACCCTCATGCTGCTTTTCAAACTGCTTGAGCGTGAAGAATTGACTGAGGGCTATGGTGCAAGTTCTCTGCAGAGGGATGGGGAGAATTGGCCCTCCATGCACCAGCAGCTTCTCTTTCCTGGCTGGGAATGGGTAAACTTTGCACATGTGTGTGCACTGTGTTCACTGTGCTCAAAATCTTATAGCAGTTTAAGATAATGTAGCAGCAGAACGACATAAAAATAACGCACAGAGCACAGATTTCCCTAAACTATCACCAAGGTGCAGCATTTTAAAAGTCCTAAACAAAACCCAAATAGTAATAGAACACTAAGCTTCACTAGTATAGCACAGCTGTGTCTTATTAAAATGTGTACCATAGGAGATACAATTACCCATAATATAGATTAACTTAATGTTGTTCATTAAACATGCAAAATTCATTGCATGATGCATATTCAAAAATGTATTCAACAGCTTCCAACAGCAGTTGAAGAAAACTTATTCTGTGTTAATTTTCACTTTGATTTCTGTGGTTCCAGGTATTCTAAACCAGTATCTTAAAAGCTGAATTTATTTTTAGAAACATTCCTTAATTATCTCAGGCTTGACTCTGAACTCTACATCTCTATTAATTTACTGTACACTTTTTATATTCTATTCATGCAGTTTACTAAATAAATAAGTATAAATTGAAGAGTTAGGGATGTGTAGATTAGCTTCAGAGCCAAGTTAAGAAATATTTAGGATAAAATATTAAAACTAGCTTTACAATAAACTTGACTAGTGGTGTAAATTAAACAGCAAAATGGCACCCTGGATCATAATATAATCTCATGGAGATTAAAAATAATACATATATCAGTATTAAGCAGTTTTACCTTTGAGCTAGTTCATCACAGGCTCTAGTTAGTATTCATCCTATGCACATAATTTTTATTTTATACTGAAAACTTTTTAGCGAAAACTTATACGAAACCTCTATTTTGATCAACTAATCTTAAAAGATCTTACGGGCCTTGTTTGTTCATATATTTGTTTTAACAGCGATCTGGCCAACTGTAATATTGAAGTAAATTTTCTGGATTTCCCTTTATTCCATTTTTTTCCCAGGCCCCTTATTATTCAGTCCACTTACATTTCCATCACTTTCTTTCTTAACCCCACATGATACTCTCAGATCCATTACTAACCATCTAAGAAGAAGTTTTCAGAGGTACAGGATATAGAGAAAAATAGTCAAAGTTATAAAAATGACAAAGGCTAGCAGTAATCTATAAGCAGCAGTGATTCCTAGATAAATACACTGGGTGATCTTCTACATCCACACGTTCCTTGGCATCTTCCCTTCCTCCTTATCCCTACAATTCCCAGACCCAAATGGAATCAACAAGGCAAAGGTCTAAAAACTCCAAGGCTAAAGGGCAATTTTCCACTGGGTTGCTTTCCTGAGTCTATGGTTTTCATACTGCACTCTGCAACATGGGATGTACAAACTGTGGATTGACATAGGAGAACCCCTCAAAATCTGTTTGGTCTATGTTAGAAATGACCAGCTGATCAGGTGGCGTTAATACTGGTTGTCCTCTGGTAAAGAACTTGTCGAAGTTTTCGGCACCCTTGCCACACTGTAATTAAAAAAAAAAAAAAAAGAGAGATTTACAAATTGGAAATCCTTAAGTAAACAGATGCTAGAGTACTTAAAAAGTCTATCCTGCTCTGAAGATCATACATAGGAACCACATTTTTTAGTCCTGAATAAAAAGGCTATGATAATAATCTTGAATGAAAGAGCCATAATAATATTCTTGATACAAAGAGTCACAACTGTCTTGGATATACATTCAGATGGATGAAAATTAAACCTAGTGACTGGGGATATGAAAAGCAAGAATTCTTGTGCTAGCTAGGCCACCCTGTTCAACAATGGTGATCATATTCAGACCTAATATGCAATATCTTTGTTTGAATGTACATCTAGGACCTAGTTATGTGCACAAAATATTTATATTGTAGGATATATGCATTCCAATTATTACATATTTGAGAATACTGTTTCCAAGTCAGACAAAAACATTTCAGGCTGGAGGCTCAAAATAGCCCACACAGGATTGGGAAGTCTTCCCCTTAAGCCCAGTGTAGGATTTTAGCCTTGTGGCCTTCCAGAAGCTTCTAAAAGCCAACCTGTTTTGGAGAGCATTCAGGAGATAATGAGTTGACAACCTGATTGCTGTGCTTGTGTTGTTTTTGTTTTATATATTGTTTTTTTTTTAATGTGAACCACGGGAAGTCCATACAGATTGTGGCAGTATATTAAACAATGTGAGATGAAATGAAATGGGTGGCAGAAATGTCACTATCCTAGCTGGTTAGGCTCTTCCCATAGGAAAATAACTTCAACAAATAAATTGAAATGGATCAAAATGTATTATCTTTCAGATGAAGCTGCTAAACTCAAATCTCACTGTATTAAAAACATGCAATGCCATGATTTTTAAATCCTTTAAAAAATGAATCTCACAGACTTTCTGTTTTGCGTTACTGATGTGTGCCCGGAAAGTCACATACTGACTTGTGCTTTCCCCCAGGTCACGCTTGCTGTAATATTCTAAAACTCAAACAGGAACCCTGGCACTTAGAAGACAATGTTACATTTTAGTGGGGAAATATATATTAAATGGTAACTGCTATTGCTCACAGCTGTCTTGCGGGGAGTTTTGTCATGAACGCGTCATTTTTCTGCCAAATACATTCTCTTAATTTCTGGTTGCAGCAATCAACAGAAAAGTGGTTCAAATAATACATTCTATGGCTTCTTTGTAATGTTTTCAAAGGGCAAACTACTTCATGGCAATCAAAAAGGTTTTTAACATGATGGGCATTATGGTTGAATTCCAGCCCACGTACTAAAAATAAATGCTTTACAGATTACTTATTTCACATCTCCAGTTTATTCTGTTCCATTTCTTGTGAATGGCATTACATCTCCATCAAACATTTTTAAAAGCCCATCTTGGTACATAATGTAATTCAATATCTTCTCTACTGCCCACACTAAAGCGGAAAAACAGCTTTAGGTACCTAGTGATTGTATGAAAAATAGTTTCATCAAACTCTTCAAAAGTATTAGTACTACTTAATCTTAGAAATATATGACTTTTGATGCTTTATGTCCAAGTTTTTTGACAAGTTAAATCATATATATTTCAACAGAAAAAGAAAAACTACTGGGAAGGGAAAAATTGAACTCAGGACTGGCAATTTAACATTGACAGACTTTGAGGAGATGGGAAACATCATCCAAGCTATGCTTTCTGAATTATGCTGTTTCCCTCTTGCACTTCCAGCCAGCTGGGAAACAAATACAACAGGTTTTATAGGATAATGACTTCAAGCCCATCTCACTCAGGAAATAAAAAAGATGACTGCATACAAATGGATTAGAAGGCATCCATTTACTCCCCTAACTGATATGGAATATATTCCCATTCTGAGCTCAAAACAGTAAGAAATTATTAAAGAATAATCTTAGCTCTAGAAAAGGCCAACATATAGTAAATATTAATCCCTTGGGATAGGCTTTTACACACTCGTTGTCCCCTGATTTCACCGCAGCTTTCTCACCAATAAAGATGAATAGCATTATGCCATCATGGCAAAAGTTCCATGTAACTCCAAAAAGTCAGCACTGCAGGTTCTTCCCCAATCCTTTGAAGATCCATGATGCATAAAGCTGTTACATTTTGATTAATGTGAAAGGAGGAGAGTTGGATCTGTCTAGCCTGTACACTGGAAATTTCTGGGCAAGATATCTCATGTGATGGATCTTTCACCAGAAAATATCAAGCCTGTACACATATCTATAGAAGCTCCACTCAACCTACTTATGCATCATTTCTGTTTAGGTCATAATACAAGAATCTCTCCTGTGATTTGAAAGGATCAAATTTGCTCCTTCTGTTTAGCCTCGTTGCATAAACTTCCACTGTGCCTTCAGAGCTGCTTTAGAGGCCCTTCTCTAGGTTGCAGGTGAGAGGAGTGCAATATGAGAGAGTAAGGCCTTTGTTCTGGTGGTTCTCGGAGTCTGAATCTCTCTCTTCAGAGGTTTTATCATGCTGACTCCTCTCAGCACGTGCTGTTTCTATAAGTACCTTCCAGGTGGTGTTTTTAAATTCTGCCTTTATCTCAGCATACTGTTAAATCTTCTGCATCTATTTATTTATTTGGTTCTGCCTTAATTTTATAATACTTGTCTTGAGTTTCTATTGGCATCTGCTCTAAATCTGCTTTAAAATATCTAAATAAAATAAAACTTGATTTTATTATGAGACCATAGATACCACATGCTGAAAGAAACATTATTGTCCATCTCATTTACCACTTTAGGTTTGAACGGAGGCTGGATATCTCTGTTCTCCAGTCTATCCCAGTCAATTCTCCTGAAGAAGGCATGTTCCCTAATGTCTCTTTCTCCTTCGGGCCCACAGCCGAGACGTTTTGCAGGGTGTTTAGTCATTAACTGGAAATCAAGCACACAAATGATACAATGAGATTTTTCAGAATGAAGGGAGGAGCAACACACAGTCATCAATGTCACTTTGTTTTCCTCAATGTCTGCTGCTGTAATCCTAAATTTAAAATATCTATAATTCATAGTATATTCCTAAATTCCAAATTGGTTGCTGTTTTCTCTAAATACAGATCAAAGACAGATTTTTGCCATTTTGCTAGATGTTCAGTTTTTTTAATGTTCACAAATTAAAAAAGAAAAATTTGAAGAAGAAACAGACACATTTTTGAATCCAGAATTACTAAACTAATACTCACTACTATCACTTTAAAATGTTCACTTGATTAGCCAATGGTACTGGGAAAAAGGATTTACCAGGATGTATATTTATAGATATTTTTCACCACTGTTATACTGTACAGAAATAAATGTCCTTCTCAGATGCAGAAATATTTTTCCTCTTCTGTCAAGAATTAAATAGCTAGCAATTTAAAAAAAAATCTATATTTAAAAAAAACCCACCACAAGAAAGGTTGAGAAAGCATATTTTCTTAATTTCTGGATAGCGTATCATTCTAAAAGCATGAGCTTCAACTATTGTTGCAACAAGGGAAAGAGAAAGATAGCTATCTAAAGAGCAAATCATGAAAAATATGCCATCTAAGGTTTAAAAGAGCTTTAAATACATTTGGGACTACATAATCACAAATAAAACTGTATCAGATGAACATCCCTGTCCAGACATATTTTTTGTGTAAGAAAGTGCATGTTTTCTGAGTTATGACATTCATCCATGTTCTCAGACAGAAGCAATATCCATTTACGTAAAGGAAATTCATCTTGTGTGAAGCACACAAAGAGAAACAGACAACATTCTCCTTTTCACTATCATTGTTGTACAAGAACTTTGGCTCACAAATAGCTAGTGAGAACTGAAAATTTTGAATTTCAAAAATGGTTCTTATGGAAGAATACATTTTATTAACTATTCTGATAGTATAAAAGTGAACACTTGTGACAAATATAAAAACGTTGGGTCGATTCTATTACAGCAACAGTGCTCATAAAGTATCTAAATTCACTCTACTCATACAGTAACTGATAAATGCTTCATATCTCAATCATCAATTTATATGACTCAGAAAAAATATCACAGCATCTCAGATCAGTACACCTTACAACCATTAAGCCAAGATCATCTTCAAGCAGAGGGTCTTGGATATCAATGCTCAAGTTGGCATGAATCCCTAAAAGGGTTGGCCAAGAATAAAAAGACATTCCAATTAGAAAAATACTTAACAATAGGTCTGGCACAGGGCCAAAGAAAGAGCACAATTCAAGCTCCTGGATTCTATGATAAAAATGGGCGATTCTACTGAATACTGTACTCAGAGAGGAAATGTATATGTGGTGCCTTAAACAGAGACACACATTCTCTTGTACTGCCCTCTCTATTCCCCAGCGAAGGAGCTACCAATCAAGAGGACAGCCCCTGGGACCCCACTATCAGATTATCTTATTTCCTTCAGCGTACAAACAGACTACCAAATTCATAGCTAAAGCCATCCAGTGGAGAGAACTTCCTACCTAGATCACATTAGGATCAACTGCCAAAATGACAAACGTATTTGAATAGTTTACTGCTTTTTGTATAACTTAATACATTGAATCTATGTTATTTTATTTTATCATGTCGATACTGTGTTACGATTTGATATGGTTGTTTGACTGATCAATAAACTAAACAATACAACCGTACCCCTTTGCAGATGGACACAGCTTCTTTGGACATTGCTTTGGGATAGGAAACATTATGTTCCATTATTGACTGAAAGAGTTCATCTTCATCCTCACCATCAAATGGAGGCTGTTAAAAAGAAAGAATTAAATGATTGATATGAAATTCAGAATGAAGGCCTACACTGAATATTTATTCAAAAGCAGATCATTATTTCCCACTGGCTCAGACTACCATTTGGTCAAACTGACTGGAGATACTGTGGGAGTTTGGGGGAAGGATGAATAACGCTCTGTTGTATTTGTAGGACAGAACATGACCTTCGTGCATGGGAATGGAAGAGACGATGTTTTATGCTATTCCAAGCTTTAGTTGGTAGTCCCACAAAGTGTGCTGGCCTCGTATCTGATGCCCTGACTGTTGGAAAATGATGGGTCTCCCTCCTGTTCTGCATCTACAATCCCTGGGTGAGGTTACCTGGAGTTTTGGAATCCAATGTCACCATACGCTGATGGTTCTGACCCTCTCAATCTCAATCTAAAGAAGCTGTTCATGTTTTTAAAAAGAGCTGTTGACTATACAGTAAGTATATGAAGGAAAAGAAATTGAAACATTGTCTGTTTTGGGGTATAATTCAAAGAGCAGGTTATGACCTAGCTCTAATGGATTTGCAGCTAACTGGAGTATTGTATTTTTCTGTATGATCTTAACCTTATTTTAAGATCTCTCAAAGTCCATTTCTTCTATTTTCTTTGAAAACTTTAAAGATAATAAAGCGCCTTCTTTGCAGCTTCATCTACCATCCTTCACAAATGAAACCTATCACTGATAGCTTCTACTGACAGTTTGCAACACATATGGCTTGTTTATTTTTAATTAATGTGTGATGTGCTAATGTGTGGGTTATGTGAATAAGTCATACCTCGTTTTAAGACAGTATTTGGAAATATAGTTTGTTGCTGGCTTATGGATTGAGAACAATATATAAAGGAACATGGCTGGATTTCTGGCTCTTATGTCCTGCACAACCCTCAATCTGAAGAGTTGCAAGAGAAGAGTAGCTGAAAAGATGGAAAACAAACCAGGAACTGGCCAACAAATGAAACACGATTTATTTGGTTCATCTGCAAGACTGACTTGTTCAACAAGCCATCATATTTTAAGACAAAGTATTATTTAGATGATGCATGAACATAGCCGTTGTTTGCATGTACTACTGAAACCTTGCGGTTTTAATTTTTGGAGAATATTCAGTTGGTCAGTTAACTAGAAATTTAGCTATTTGCCTTTATTTTTACTGTTTCTCATTTTGCATTTCATTCCTGACCCATTTAATGATTTAAGGAACAAATCTTACATCATGAAATGGACACATTCTTACCTGACCAGCCAGCATCTCATATAAAAGTACTCCGTAAGCCCACCAGTCCACTGACTTTCCATATGGCTGATAGGCAATAATCTGCGAATTCCAATGAAAAGCTTCAGTAATATATACTTGAGCATATATAACTTTTGAAAAAGATATAAATTCAAGTATACCTCTATAAAACACATCAGTTATACTAGTAGCGCAGTGCATCAAAGTGAAACTTTTTTTCTTCAATGATTGATACAGAAATCATGGATATTTTTAATACCACGAAGTGCTATATCTGAAGTGGTGATATTTAAGTTTAATTGTGTTGAGGGGAACAAGTTTCCTGTTATGCAAATAGTAAAATGGGATGAACTGGCCTAGCCAATTAATCTTAAGGGGGTAGAATTTTACCCCAATAGCCCCGGATCTATTTGGCATGAGTCTGTTTCTGCAATCATCTGTGCTATCTGAACAGCTGAAGTTACCTAACCCTTTCCTATCCCACAGCAGACACAATATCCTAGAAAGTCCCAGCAAAAATGAGACCGCTCTAGATAATCTGTCTCTATAGCTATTCTATTTTATCTGACATTGAGGAGGAGATAAAGGGGCAGAAATGGGTGAGCACGTTGCTGTTCACATTGATATTATAATGCTTGTTGCAAGTGCACCATTATGGATGTGATTTTTTTTATTTACTCCAGAAAGAAGGAAACATGGGAAATGGGAAAATAAATGACAGCCTAAGATAATGGCCCTGGGGCAACTGACAAAATTGTCATTGCTCACGTGCAATGGGGAATAATCCATCTGGGGAGTGGATCATTGGGTTAACCATCTTGGGTGAACCTGGCCACTGAGGAGCCAATTACTCAGGTGATTCTGAACTAATATATAGATCCAAGGGGACATCTGATTCTGTGTACTGTGTATATAGAGCTTACACAGCAGTAAATCTTAGTGATATCCCTCCATTGACCCTTGAGACATATCAACCCTTAAAATATATTCAGACAGCTCCCTCTGAGGAAGGAGCAGCATTTTTTTCTGTCAACAGTACTGAACTATAGTTTCAACTGGGTGATTAGACCTTATGGAAAGCTACAATGAAAAACACATTTGCTGGAATTATAATGATAATTATCATTTGTGCTATTGCACACACATTAATCAAATGCATCCTTGGATTAACACCACATGGCTGCATTTAGAGAGTTCTGGATCTCATAGTAGTGAATTCAAGTTTGAAATCAAGTATTTTCTCAAACCCATTTTCTGAATGATTAATGGGTGAGAAGGAAAAAATGAGAAGACATCTGGAGCTCTAAAGGTTAATTACATATAGGCAAAAGTTACAAATATGTCATAAGGTTAATGCACCTATTTACAAATATACTATACTGAGTGGTGGTGAACAGCCATAGAGGCAGGCAATCCAAGTTTGTGTTGAGAGAAATGGTTGATGGTTAATGACCTCAACCTGTGCAGTGCAACCACACATTAATATTATGACCTGGACCAGGATTGGAAGAGGAAGAGAACATTGTGGTACTTTTTTCACTTTCCCTGAAAAAAATATATGAACATAACCATGAATATAGTACTCTTTTCATATTAAATTGCCTCTCATGCTACTCCTCTCTTAATAACATGCAACATTGTTAACACAGATAAAAATTGGTAGGAATGGTATGATTTAAGAAATGGAATGTTCTGCAGTTCTCTGGAACTTTCTGTTCCATTATTGGGGAAATGGGAGCTCAGTTTTACTTAATTTTATATGTTAATTGGCATGCAGCTTCATGATATGCATCTAAGGCCATCTATTTCCTGTTACACACAAGAAAAGTCTGACTGATTTGGTTCCTAACATACTTTCCTACACATAAAATCTCTCCTCTTTTGTGGAAGAGTCTTTTTGGGGGGTTTCTTGGAAGCTGACTGAATGGGAAGAAAAGCCATCAGTCAAGGCCCTCTAAACCCCTGCAAGTTCCTTGTATCCTCCCCCGCTGGCCCAGAGCCCCCAGCTGTCTGCAGCCAATCTGCAGGAGGAGCACATGGGGCTCCATAGAGACGCTTACGAAAATTACTTCCCTTATTTCATCTTGAAAAGCATTGCATGAGCAGAACTCCATTTATGAATGTCTAGATCTCAACTATTATCACTGTTTTCTTTATGCCAACAATTTTCTGAGAGAAGTAGTTCATTTATAAAACAGTATTTTTTTACTTAGGGGACTGAATGTTTTCAGGACTTCACCTAAACTGGATCTCTAGCTTCCTAAACATTTGTTAGAATGAACTCTCTCTCTTCGTAGGTTGAAAAAAATCCCCGAATTTTTTAAAATGAAGATTAACAGCTTTCTTTCAATATCACCCTTATTTAAGGTAACACAGCTTCCTCACATGTGCCTTTCTAACATAAGAGTAGGGATTTTTTCCCCCTGTGGAAAACCATATTACCTCATTCATATTGAGAGCTGGGGACTCCACCTTTTTCTGTCACTCACTCATTGTTCCATTCATCCTTCTCCTTTTCCTCTCCTCCCTCCCCTTCTCTCTTTTTCTCCCCCCCCCCCCCACCTAGGGGGTTATCAAAGAAAACAACAGACTGCTTTTGTCTGAGACCTCCACTGATTAAAGAAATACATTATTGTTACTGAGAGCCACAGAGTAAAGTTCTAAAAGGCACAGCGTTGGGTTACATCAGACAGTTCCTTGCCAAAAGTGAATCTGCCCATCCAGTCTGGTCACTGAGAGGGGCCCAGCTGACAGTGCCCTCCCCTTGTGAGATCTGGGGGCAAGTGTGAGGCAGCTGTAGTAGCCCCCACCTTATAGAATACTCTCCTCTCCAGAAGTACATTGCAGCCCCCGCCTGGCTGCAATTCTGAAAACAAGTTAAAACTGTTTCATTTCAATGTGCCTCTGGTCCCAGCAGTCTGAGTGTGGGCACCTATTCGGGACTGAGGGGGTGCTTTATGTGGTTATTCTTAGTTTTTGATACTGTTGGGATTTAGTTCTTTATTATTATGTGTTTATTTGTTTTCTTGTGGTTTGGTTATGAACGCTGCCCCAAATCCTTTGGGATCAGGGCAGATTATAAATGCTGTAAAATAAACAAACAAGCAAATACGTTATAAGAGTTAAGCCAAGGATTTTACCACAGCATGGTTTCGGTAAAATGCTCGTTCTAGGCACAAAGTTTCAATGGAAATTGATAGGTAGAATCAGGCAATCAGATTCTGAGTTTTATCCAAAATATTATTAAAATGGTCATTATGACAGAAGGAATGAAAATCCACTTACTATACAACAGTAGCAAAATTTCACAGCAAGTTAATATTAATACTAAACTACTGCTCTTTTCCGAGACTCCAAACAGGCTTTTAAAAATACTACAAACTATAGCTAGCCTATTTTAAGTGAATTTTCATTTGTATTTTAGTTCCAAATATAAACAAATGCAGAAAAGCAGTTAACTAATTAATAAGAGTGAATAATAGGCACTATTCAAGGCATTAATTGCAAGAATATGTATTTCAAAACATGAATAACCAGGAAACTGATTTATTCTCTTTCTGGCTATAAAGGGAAACAGAATGGAAAGCTAAGGATTGGAGAAGAAGGAATTTCCATTCATTGGCTTCACAATACTGGAAGCTGAAGTATCTAGATATATCATGTATATTTAAAATTAATCATGATACGGATTTACTTCCCTCTAAAGAATGAACCACTCCTGGCTGACACTAATTTAAGGTACAACGAGATGAGGTCAGATTTCACCCTGGGGCTGTAGTCACTGTTGTCAAATATTTCCTTTTGTCACAGACTTGGGCATAAGCATTCAGTACAAACTATGATGATGGAAAAAATGATGAAGCATGCATCATGATCTCATGATGCAAACTGTAGCCTTTCATAGTTTCATGCATCCTAACATCAGAGAGAAGTATGTAAGCCAGAAGGTTGCTTTTCAATGTCACGATGCAGATTTCCTCATTTGCCACCACCTTTATCCCTCAGTAGACACTTACGGAGTTATCTAAGAATGGGATTAAGAGATAAGGGTAGAGGGACAATCACTTTATCAGTTCCCCATCAATTTTCCTTACTGACTGCAGAGCAGCAGGAAACCTGGCTTGGCGTAGTTTATCAACATTTATCATCTCTCTCATTTCCATCATCAACAGTGAACAATCAAGTTAGAAAATCTAGCACTGGTATATTGTTCAAAGGTACATTACACATTTCTTCTGGAAGAATTATGTGCATGGTGCATAATATCTCAAACAATAAATACCTCTGGTGCAATATAATCTGGAGTCCCACAGAAGGTCCTTGTTGTCACTCCATCGCTCATACTCTCCTTGCACATGCCAAAGTCTGCAATCTTAATATGTCCTTCAGAATCCAACATTACATTATCTAATTTCAGATCTCTATGAAAAACCACAGCAATTAAGAATGTTAAATATCAGCTGTCAGAAATGCTGATGGCAGGCTCATTATAAGAAATAACTTAGAACCAGGGTAGCTCAAAGACCATACTTTCCTATGCAAACTTGCTCACCTATTGAGAAGGCCTGCAGACAACTTATGTGTAGGTGCCAAGGGAGATGTCTGAGGGCACAATGGAGTATGTTGCCACCATGTTGCTTTCATAACTATACAAATCAAACTGTATGTCTTAAGTACCCCTGTACTGTACTGTATATAAACAGGGAGCAAACCCCACACTCAGTCGCACTGATGATGCTACCTAGTTGGGTCATGAAATGTCTGCAAGCAAACAACCAAGCTCAGAGAGCACCAAGGACTCCACAGTTCAACCCTGAGCTACAGATATTCGCTTCTATTGTATGGCTTAAATCAAACACACACAACACTCTTTTCCTATTGAAATACATTAGGCAAGACTGTTCAGAGTCCCTTCCTTTGGTGAAGTCAGATTTGGGATTGACTTTGGGAGCTTTGGGGACCAAACCTCTATGGAATAGGCTTCATGGTCAAGCATGCTAGTCCATGAAGATAAACCATAAAGCTATGCCTTTGTTTTGCTATTTTTTGTTATTGCTGCAAGACTGCTGCTTTTGGTTATTTCACTTCTGCATCTCTTGTGATGATACTTTATTTAAATGTATAAAATACAACTCAGATTAAATGTATAAAATACAACTCAACAGATTGCTGTTAGCATCCAATGATTTTATAGGATCTATTGAGAGCAAACAGACTGATCTAGCTGCATTTCTTTGTCTTATAATGCTTAAACAAAGAAGCTTTTATATGTTTTGCAAATCTTATAGCACTGAAGATTTCTGTTAGGTGTGCCACGGTGAATAAGCAAATTGTAATACAAATACATATTTTTAATCTGTTCTGTTAATTGGGAATACAATTGTTCCCAGTTCAGTGCTTTCTTCCTCCATCTTTCCCTACAAACACTGCTTTTTTATAACCTGTGACAAAACTTGTATTGTTACACAAAGCTGTTATATTTACCGATAAACAATTCCTTTCTTATGGAGAAAAAAAAGGCCCACTGAGATCTCTGCTGCATAGAACCTGAAAAGGAAAAGAGTCCTGCTAATCAAAGGATCTTTATATGCATCGACAAATTTTGAAACACTTACAACCACCCATTCAGGAATGTTCTTTCACACCACTGGACCTGACTCAGTAGGGATGTGAGGACTGGTCCTTTCCTCTCCATCAGGTTCCCATTGGTAGATCTTGCCACACCATAAATTTTGGAAGCTGATGGCTGGTATTGGACAGTCAGCCCCACAAGATTATAAACTCCTGATTGCCCTGGATTCTAGGTTGCAAAGAAAACATTCCCCAAGAGATCAGCCCTCTGATGTAAATGTTCACATTGCAGTATGTGGAGGAAGATGAGCATATCTCCAGAGCCATCTCATGGGGCAAGAGGGAGGATGTTTACACAGGATTACAGGACAAGATTAATACAATGGCTGCAAGCCACAGAAGACCACCTTCATGCTATGACTCAACGTTCTGTTATTTACAAGAGAGGATTCTGATATTACTTTTTCTGTCTGTATGTGGAAGTTAGTGATTTATGAAGACACCTGCCTCCATATTACACCTAGGGCTGTATTTTGGGGCCAAAGTCAAGGTGGTCTCCAACTGACAACTTGCAGAGTGGCAGGTGATGGAGACAGCAAAGAGGCTCACCATCAATACTTCAGGAGTGACAATATGGGTGCAAGTTTCTTTTTCCTGTCCTTATTTTAAAAAGTACTTTTTTGTAGTCCAGGGCAACCAACTGAGCATGCAAATTGTTACAGATGTTCACTTTATTATGTTTAGATGTCTAACCCTAACCCCAGTAAAGCCTGTAAAATGTTAAATTCAAAAGCTAAAATTGCCTAGTTACATGGCTAACTTACAGTAATGTCTTCTACAGATAGACTAGGAACAGAGTGAACATACTTTGCCATAGCCAGCCAACACCCAAACCAGTCTTCTCCTGAGCAACTTCAGGCAGATTATACTTTCTTTTTTTTCTGAATTTTGGAAGGCTTCAACTTATTCAATATCTTGAGGCAGTGATTACCCCTCTCCTCCCCTACCCCAATTTCATGGCAAGCAAGAGGAACAAGTCTCCTCCATCCAAAGGTCACGATGCAACATCAGTGCCTTGTGAAGCAGGCTCTAAACCCTAGAGCTTGACTATTATGTTTTTAAAGAGAGCTCAAGGAGGGGTGTGTGTGTCTGTGTGTATCATGGAGTCCAGAGTTGCTGATAAGATAGTAGGGTAAGGACATCCCCAATCCATGATGGCTTCTTGCAGTATTACTTTGTTTTGTTCCTCCTCCTTCCTCTGGCTAGTTACCAAGAGCTCATCAGACAGGTTTATAACTTTCCCCCCCCTCCTCTATGACAAGGCATTATTAGTATCAGGCAAGAATAGAAGAGAATCCTAATACACTGTTAGTTTACTGTTTGACAATCTGAACTGTAGAGCATGTAGTGCCACATCAGCTTGTTTCTAAAATGCTTGTGATTCACACTAAACCTTATTTAGTCAATGTTTCACACATAATACAATAATATAAGAAATGCAGCTCCTTTCAAAATGTTTACTAGTTTAATTATATGAAATTAATAGAAACCATGCTAAGATTTACTTCTTCTGAGTAGTTTTAAGCCTGTGCAATATTGATGAGTTTTTGAAGCTAGCCTTACTGTGAAACTGTCAGTTACACACAAAATAGAAAATATGGGTGGGAAATGGAAAGACGCATATTCCTAAAACATAATATTTAATGACAAATTTGATTTAAAATCAACAGAAAAGGCACTCACACTGCTTGGGGCTCCTTAAATTTTCCTACTTGCTGAATATGATACATGAGGTCACCACCATTCACATACTCCATGACAAAGTACAGGCGATCCTAGCAGACAATATGAAACCAATAAATATGTCAGGCAGTGGACCTGCCACTCAGGAATTGTTAACACAGAAGACTGGGGAAAGAGTCTTAAGTGCATCTACACAATTATAACACAGTCCCATGAATTATCAGATAATAAAAGCAATTCTTTATAGGACTAATTAGATCAATTTGGAAGCTATGCACTGTGTACAGATGCAGATTTGATCTTTCTTCTTTTTATAGCAACAATTGTTATTACATCAATAAGGTGAGGTGGATTTTCCTCCCCAAACTTTTAAAGATAAAGTATGAATAAGTCAAATGGTTTAGTTCTGAATATCCCACTTCTTTCCTTAGATACATAACACTGGTTATCAATGGAAGCATACTTATTAGAAATTATTCTGAAATTTCTAGGATGTGATTCCAGCACCCTCATTTAAAGAACCTATAGCCAACATAAATGTCACGAATACAAGTAATATCATTCTCTTTGTTCCCTCTGTTAAGCTGCTATTTTCCTTTCACTATTTTCACTTAAGAGTGAAAGGAAAATAGCAGCTTTGGAGAGTGACTTTTGTCAGGATGATGGCAGGAGTTTAGCTGTTCAACTCCTCCTTCCCATTCTCCATCCTCCAAGACAGGCGCCTTTGCATTCCTTTGTACGTAAGAAAAAAAAAAGCAATGAATGGCAGTCTCATCCATCCATCCCATGAACCTACTGGCAGATATTCAAAAGAAATGCTCTGCAACTAACCTATATTTTTCCATTTTAAACACTGTCCTTATTTCTGCTGATAAATATATCAGCTGAGAGAACTACATTATTTATCACCCCACCCCCTACCACACCACCCCCTATTTTCACTTTACTCTGTGAAGTCAGTACAGCAAATATGGTGTGTGAGAACTCATACCACAGGGATGATGTATAAACACATACCACAGTCTGGAAACAAGAGTGAAGCTGTGTTAAGAAAGGAGGTTTGTCCATCAAGGCTAGAACCCGCTTTTCAACCATGGTACACTCTACATCATCATCTTGAATGACCACATCTTTTTTCAATATTTTGGCTGCGTACAGTTCTTCTGTTCCCTTTCGTTCCGCTAGCATCACCTGAGCAAAAATGAGAAAGTGAATATTTAGCTGACTACAGACTATGAGTAATTTCTTATCAGAAATATGGAAAAACATTTCTGGTAATTCAGTTCCCTATAGAAGTTCATTAACTTGCACAGAGTCTCTAAGAAATCTGTTCTGTTTTTTCAATGTGTTTGTTCTGTTTTTCCCATTTCTTACATAAAAACTACTGAAGACTAACTATTCCAGAAGTTATACAAGGGTGACAAAGGCCCTAAAACTGATTGAGCCCACACTGCCTCTTTCTGCATGTGGATCCTAGAAGCTACCTGGTTTTTAGAGGAACTTTGGGAGATGAAGTGGCAGAAGAAATGCCTAGAGTGTCACTGGAGATGAAGAGCAAAACTGACTGAACGCAGGCCTGAGCCTTTATTAAGGATCATACAATGGCAATAAAAGCAGCAAAATGCAATTATTTTTCCACTCTTATTGTGTCCGTGGATCGTTGTCCAGTGGCTCTCTTAGGGAGGGATTGGTCAGATGGCCATCTGAAGGACTGCTATGAGGACTATTTGAGGCAACTGCAGATAAAATTCTTTGGATTCACTCTGGGTTGGACTCCAGCTGTTCAGGTTTGTTAAGTGTGGTATAGATCTATCAAGGTTATCTGGAAAGAATTTGTGCCTGTTGGCCCTGAGGAAATTAACAGGGACCTCAAAGCTGTTAAGGCAGCCACATGCATGTTAGATCCATGCCTTTCCTGGCTGGTCAAAGCCTCCTAGGAAGTGATACGTAGGTGGGTCCAAGCAGTGGTGAGAGAGGGGTAGGTCTGCATCCAGTTAAGGAGGCAGTTGTCTGCCCCCTTCTCAAGAAACCATTGCTGGACCTTACAGTGTTGGATATTTTTTAATCTGACTCCAACCTTCTTTTTCTGGGGAAGGTTGTTGAGGAGGTGGTTACCCTGCAGCTTCAGAGAACTTTGGAGGAAGTAGACTGTGTGAGCCATTTCAATCTAGTTTCAGAACAGGATATAGCACTAAGGTGGCATTGGTTGCATTTTTTTGATGACCTGCAGCTGGTTCAGAATGGGGGAAGTGTGTCCCTCCTGGTCCTCCTTGATTTCTCATCAACCTTCAGTACTATGGATCATGGTATCCTTTTGGACTGGCTCAGGGGATTGGGGATGGGAGGCATGATGTTACGATGGCTCTCCTCTTTCTTCCAGGGTGAGTTTCAGTCAGTGTTGATGGGGAAGAGAGGTCAAGCCCTCAACCTCTACTCTGAGGGGAAGTATCTCAGGGATTGGTTCTGTTCCTGATTCAGTTTAGGAGGCTGCAGGATGAGGTCACCTGTCAGTATGGGGATAGATACCATCAATAAGCTGACCATACCCAGTTATAGATCTCAACCTTTGGCTGTCCAAGGTCTGGCTCCTATTTCTTAAACAGTGTCTTCTTGTGAGACCCAGGAGATGTATCTTTTCTGTCGCCACACCTGTCCTCTGGAACAGCACTCTCCCTGAGATTTGGATAGCCTTGATCCTGCCTTTTGGAAGGCTTTTAAGATCTGACTTTCCCCTCAGATATTTGGTCAGGAGGTGTTGTGCCTATATCGATTATTTTGGTTGTTTTGGGTTGTACAAAGTTACCTTGTGTGTGATATGTTTTATTAGCTTTTTGCTTCTTAATGGTTTCTAATTTTTTAAAAATATTGTTACCTACAGTATTTTGATTCTTTCCCCCCCTCTTTTATATCCATTTTATATGTTGGCTAAAGGCTGTAATAAAATTGATCAATGGTTATTACTAAGTTTTGTTTTTATCTTGTATGTTGCCCTGAGGTGCACATGATTGGGTGGCTATATAAATTGATTAAATAAATGAATAAATAAATAAGCCATCTCTCCTGTATGTTTCTTGAAGTAAAGATAACATATTATTTAACAGCCCCTTTTGTGGAAAACCAGTTTCACAACTCCTCATTTTATCGCACCTCCATCAAAGCACAAAATATGATAAATCATTAGCAGCTAGACTAGATTTTCCTAATTTGCAAATTCCAATTTTAACCATTAAAACATGTGGTTGCTTAAAGATAGGGCAAGATTATTCTTGGAAGGCTAGTAACCTGGTTGCCAGCTGGCCGTGGAAAACACATGCAATATACTTTCCAAATTGCATAATGCTTTCACAGCAGTATTTACCTGACTCTCAGATCATACAGAAGCTTGATCCTGAAATGGCAAGTTTTATTATGTTTACACTAAATCTTATATGTATCTACTCAGAATGAAATCCCATTGAATTCAATGAGGCTAACCCCTCATGTAAGCAAAAATGTAAGACTGTAGGCATGTAGGCAAATGCTGGATTGCAGCTTTGTTATCAGGAGCAGCTAAAGGAATTATTAACAAATCTGCTGTGTCTCATATTTTTCCTTTTCAGATTCAAAATAAAATCATAGAATCATTGGGTTGGAAGGGACTGGGGGGGGGGGAATCTTCTAGTGCAATTCTAGACCATCCTAGACAAATGGCTTTGTCTGGAAACCTCCAGTGATGGGTGCACCCACGACTTCAGGAAGCAGGTTGATCCACTGCTTAATAACTCTCACAGTCAGGATATCCCTCCTCACTTTAAGTCTGGATCTTTCTCTGTAAAGCTTCCACCCTCAGGGACCATGGAGAGTAAATCCACACCCTCTTCCCTGCGACAGCCCTTCAAGTATTGGAAGACAGTGCTATCATGTCTCCCTTAGTTTTCTTTTCTTTAGGCTAAGCATACCCACTTTTTAAACTGTTCTCCATAGGATTTAGACTCCGAGCCTCTCATCTTCTTTGTTGTTCTTCTCAGCACTTCTTTTCCAGTTCCTCAGCATCCTTCTTATATTATGGCAATTAAAACTGGACATAATATTACAGGTGTGGTCTGACCAGTGCAGCACTGAGTGTTATTATCACTTCCTGTGATCTTGACACTATACCTCCGTTGATGCAGTCCAAGTTTGCATTGACTCTTTTTGCAGCTGCAGCACACTGCTAGCTTATGCTTAATCTCCAGTCTACCAGGATACCCAGATCCTTCTCACAAGTACTAGTGCTAAGCCAGGTATCACCTAAATGCACCTGTATCCGTGCATTTGGTTTTTCCTACCTAAGTGTAGAACCTTATATTTCTCACCAGTGCATTGACATTTTTGTAAATAATTTACTAAAACATAAATGGATGAGGTAATGTATTTATTATGCATTTCCAATTTTTATTTATATAATTCATGCCACATTTCCCCAAGCATTTTTGATAGATTTGACTCTTGTTCAATACTTGTTAAGTTTGGGTTAAGTCAAATACACCGCAAAGTTGTAAAAAAGTTATTTTGACTTAGTCCATTGTCCTTTGAGTCCAAAGTGTGCCCTCCCCTCCTTTGTCTCTAATTCTGGTTGTTTCAGTCTCCCTAAAAGTAAGAAACAAAGTAGCATGAAATTACACCCTCATTCACAAATCTTGACACTTAGTTTGTTTTCATGATGGACAATTACGGATCAAGATACAGTCTGACTCCAGATCAAACTGGCTACAAAGCCTGGGATTGGATTTCTTTTAAAGTAAAAAATTGCTTTATTCTGTTGCTTTGGTCATATGGAAGTTGGATGATCACTGTAGTAGTAGATTGATGATCACTTTGTTAGTAGATTGCATGTACTAATCTGTGTCTGAAATAGCCAAGTATCTACTCAAACATGGGTACACTTTGATTTTTGCAACTATACAACTTGAGGTATTGTCCCCATATTAATTTTTAGGCAACCATTTATAGGTTACTAAAATGCCATATGATTTAAGCTACCATTGCTTGATTATAATTGCATCCGATTCAGTATAAATTCAAGTTTCGAACTGTCCTCCATAACAAGCTAGTATCTTCCCCCAAGAAATGTTGGCGACCTGGAACTCTGGTGGGATCCTTTACACATGATGAGGAACTCCCACTTAAGATATTTCTCCCATAAAATGACAGGCCTACATTCAAAACTTCACTTTATTTTAAGGATACAAATATGTTACTGCATTTAACATATAAATGTACTGCTGATCTTCTGTTTCAAACCAGAAATTATAGATTTGGGAATGGTATGAAAAAGTTTTCATTATTCCTAACTTCTGATTGAGCTTACCCTGTGTTACTGTGAGTGCAAGGAGCATATGCACAAGAACTTTGGGGAGTAAATTGCCCACGATTTTGGTGCCAGTTTAGTTTCTTTCTTTTCCCTTTTTCAAGAATCAGCAGTATTATATCCCTCCCATATTTCTTCCTTGTTATTTGTATATATGTTTCAGAAACCACATTGTTTAAAAGAACCTTACAAATTATCAATACATCTTACCTTTCCAAAGCTCCCTTTTCCAAGTACCATTAGAAAGTTGAAATCTGTTAGTTTAACCCGATCAAGATTATTGGATGGTAAATTACAAGTCCGGTCTTCAACTGGAGTTATAACTTTGTTAGCTGATGGACCAAGCTTGGCTTTCTACAGAAACAAAGAAAATTGCTATAAGACCTATAGTCTGGTTCTAGAAATGATGAAAGATCTGGATGAGTTTGAGGGTTTGTACTTCAGAAGATACTTCATAATAAATAGTGAACAAGCACAAATTCAACTGCCCAAATACTTTAATTATGGACATTGTTAAAGTGACATAAAGTAGTACAGAAATAGAAGCAATGCCTTTTTGGGGGTTAAAACAAAGTCCAAACAATGTAAGTCATTACGTTCATGCTAAAACTTCAAAAATCAATTGCCTTTTTTTCTTTTCTATCATGAACAGTGTTCATAATAAAATGCAGGGCTCATATGATCCTAGGAATTTCCACCTCTTCAGATGTAAGAGACCCATTCAGTTTAATACATTTTATTCTCAGGCAACCGGCAACAGGATGGCAGCTTGGATGTAATAATCAACTAAACATTTTGAATGTTCTAGCTGAAATTCACATTTCTTAGAAGCATCATTTTATCAGTTTGTGATGTGTTTTTTAAAAAGAAAATCTTTATTGTTAACTGAATAGATAGCATATTGTATAAATCATTGCCACTTTCCAAGCATCATAATTTATTTCTAATCAAATGCTGATTTCAGTGTAAAAACATTATTGCATTCAAAGCCTTTTGATAAGGGTTTTATGGCTTGCAGAGGCATACACTGGAATAACTAAAACAGCAATTCTTTTTATAAAATGCTTTTCAATCCACAGAATGTTCATTTATGAAGGGTTGTAAAGTTCATCTTAAAGAAAATTGCTACCTTAAAATCTAATTACCAAATTACTATCATATCTTATTTCAGCACATTTTATCTGCATGGGATTTTAAAAAAATGATTGAAAACAAAGTCCATTTATAGAAAGACCCATATAGTGAACTTCCTTGCTCACTTGCTTCCATCCATCCATCCATCCATCCATCCATCCATCCATCCATCCATCCCAGAATTACTTATAGTCAGACATAAGGCTAAGATACATGCTTTATCATCATTTCAGTACTATCGTGCAGATGCTAAAATATCAATGCAGAAATCTGTCAGCTTCTTAAAACGTTCTATAAAAAAAACAGGCATGTACAGTATTGGGAGTTGGGAAGCATTTGTGCCGTTTTCATGGTAACATTCCCCTAAGATCTCCCCCACAACCACCCCATGGTAAACAGTGGAAACACAAGAAGTCCACCAAGACACACTTCAGTGCTTACCACAGGGTGGCCGTGGGGAGGTCTTGGCATGTCTTAAGTGATGTACCAGTATTAAACAATCATTTGATTAAAGAAAAGAGATTGCAAATTTTGATAATTTAGTTGGGGCAAAAAACTCCAAAATTATATAAGTTATGTTAAGAATTCATACAACATTGTTCATTACTGTTAGTATTCTATATCCAAGATGTTCTTGGGGCTAAAAAAGAAAAGATAGTCCCTTCTATTTTCAATTTTAGTATAGGAAAAACAACAACCTTGTTGAAATCAAAGTTAGAAACAGTATATTTTAAACATTTATATTCAGACAATGTTGTAGTTACTATGCTATGCCATTCACTCAACAAGACGTATCATTCAAGAGCAAAGGCCCCCTTCTGGATCCATTCCTGCAAGCTATGGAGCAGCCAAGTTGCTTGAAATCTGATCTAGTGTAGCTGCTTTGAGATTCTCCTACCCACCAGGAGAGCTGGCAAAGCAAAGCAAAGCAAATTGAACTATTTGCACATTTGTAGTAATTACAGTTCTTGACCTAGGAGGTCCATTAAAAAAAATACTCAGCAACAAGGTAATGAATCTTTATAAGTCACATTGTTCAGAAATTAGAATTGATAAGAAAACATAAAATAAATAAGAAGAAAATATAAAGGTCCATTAGGGATTTAAGCACCAGTAATTCTTAAGAGTATAGGTAGTCCTTACTTAACAACCGTTCATTTAACGATAGTTCAAAGTTACAACTGTCTTGAAAAAAGTGCTTTATGACCTGTACTCACACTTATGACCATCACAAACATTGCACCAACTCCCACGGTCACGTGATTGCAATTTGCAACCTTTTTTATGATGGTTAAGCAAATCACATGGTAGTTAAGCAAATTCTGGCAAAAAATGTCCATTGGGGAAGCTGGATTTGCTTAACCACCACATGATTTGCTTAACAACCACATGATTCATTTAATGACTGCAGTGAATCACTTAACAACCATTGTAAAATGGTCATAAATCGGATCTGCTCACATGGTGACTCACTTAATGACCACCCCGCTTAACTGTCAATTTTCCAGTACCTATTGTGGTCATTAAGCGAGGACTACCTGTATGGAAAGCATCAAGAGATATTATGTCTCCTACTTTCCCAAATTTTATGTGAAGCATTAGATTGTCATGAAATGTTTTGAAATGCATAACGTAAATATGTAAAGTCCAGAAATATATTGCAAAACTTACTCTTGGAAGTTAAAGAATGTCCCCTAAAAGGCATTTGAATGCATTCAGTTCTGTGTTGCCAGTGTGAGCACGATTTGCCCAAACGTATGAAAAACTATTTATAATCACAGGACTGCATTTGAAATAACCCGTTTCAGATTTTGTAAAAACATCAAGTGCTGTATTGCTTACGGCCTCCAGTGTTGAATACTGTGTGCAAAGCCCTGTTGACTAAAAGGATCGAGGCTATCTGACAGCCCTTTGAAATGGGGCAAAATATTTGCAATATTCACAGATCCATTTTAACGTTAGGAACTTGAAGTGCTGATACAATGTGATACTACATAACCTGTAATTTTTCTCCTCCTGTCATTTCAAGGTGATATAACTCGTAATATAACTCATTTTTTAAGAAGATGGGAATATCTTAAGAAGATATCTTAATATCTTAATATCTTAATATCTTAAGAAGAAGAAAAATATATATAG